AATATTTTTTTGTAACATAATTTATTTTGAAAAAAAAATTAAGAGCAAAAAACTTAACATGCGCACCTTTTCCGCCTACTTAAAGCTTATAAGAGACTTACAATTAGATTTTTTTTCTGCTAAATGCATTAAATTGATAGCTCAGTGATTAAATGCGCTGTCATCATTGTTGTTTTGAAAGGTTTAAGACCTTCCCCAATAAGCACATGAACGTTTTTAAAACGTTTTTTTAACTAAGAAAAAAAACGTTTTTACAACGTTCTGAATGGCAATACCTAAGAAACGTTTTTAAAAAAGCGTTTAAAAAACGTTCTAAAAAAGTCGTTTAAAAAACGTTCTCAAATAACCTAAATTAAACCATAAAAAAACGTCTTTTAAACTTTTAAAAGACGTTATTTTTTAGAAAATATTCCCAAATCCATAGGTACTATTATTAAATTGTTTTTAAAAGAACATGTTGGTTTAAAAAACAAGAAAAATAAAAAATTTATTTAAAAGTTATTTTTAAATTTATTTTTTAAAACAATTTACAAACAAAGTAATATTATAACGATGATATCTGTTGGATTTAAGGCACTTAAAGACAAGCAAAAGTTGCCCGCTTTCACGAATCAGCAATTATTGCATCGGCAATCGACTCTGTGTATAATTCGTGAGAAGTCGATGCACAAACTAAAAGAAAAAACTATATATTTAAAACAGACAATCTGAACAGTAATAATAGTATTATAGTATAATAATATATAGTATAATTATAATAGTAATAAGTTTTTAAATTACAAATATATGTTTTAAAAATATATATATAACTTTACATTGCATATATATATATATATATATATATATATATATATATATATATATATATATATATATATATATATATATATATATATATGTATATATATATATATATATATATATATATATATATATATATATATATATATGTATATATATATATATATATATATATATATATATATATGTATATATATATATATATATATATATATATATATATATATATATATATATATATATATATATATATGTGTATATACATTTTTGGCACAATATAAATAAAACAGCATCACATTGAAATAAAAATGACTCTGCATTGTCAGTAATAAGCCCCACTAATAAAACATAAGAAATTCTGACTAAAAGACTAGTATTTTGTATGTCCTCCATGCGCATCAAGCACGGCCTGTACAACTCTTGGCATAGACTGTACCAGCTTTTGGATGGTGTCAACAGGGATCGCTAGCCATGCAGCTTGCAAACGTTGCCACAAACTGTTGCTCCAAAGATTATTAAAACTATTAAAACTAGGGTTGTTTGCCGAAAAACAAAATTTGAGAAAATTTCGCATCTTTATCTACCGTAATAGAATTGTTATTGCAGAAGTTGCATATGCGAAATTGCACATTTCGTTACGCACTATACGAAAATATAAGTGAATAAAATTCTGTAATATAGCATCGCGAAAGAAAACTTGCGAAACAATATATGTATGTATATATATATATATATATATATATATATATATATATATATATATATATATATATATATATATATATATATATATATATATATATATATATATATATATATATATATATATATATATTATATATATATATATATATATATATATATATATATATATATATATATACATATATATATATATATATATATATATATATATATATATATATATACATACATACATACATACATACATACATACATACATACATACATACATACATACATACATACATACATACATACATACATTCATACATACATACATACACTAAATATGTTTAAACAAAGCTACTATTTTGATTTTTTTCTCTACAAATAGACCCAGGTTTCTGACGTGAGTTTGGCTAATAAACTTGAATTTTTTTTTCTTAAATGGACATCATTTTGGCCTCAACACCCCCTCCTTATTGTCAATTTGTCACCCCCTCCCCATTGTTACCCCTCCCCATTGTCAAACTTTTTAGTACCCCTATCTTCTTATATTTATTGACGGATCATTTATAGATAGCCCTAAAGTCCTACTTATCCATGGACCAAGTTAACGGAATTCTACTTTATATACTCGTTTTTTTTTTATAAGCATAATGCTTATAGGCTCAGATTTGGAAAAAAAATAAGCATATGTAAGTATATTCCTGAGCCTCGATAAACCATTTGAAAATTTTTATTTTTATTTAATTAAAATTTTTAAATATATATATTTCTAAATTTAAACCAACAAAAACAACAAAAACCGAAATTTATAACAACATTAACTCAGCTTTATTAAGACCAAAACAAAAATACAGAGCCGAAGTCAACTTTTTATGTATACTTTATTATTTATATGTATAACTTTTTAGGTATATTTTATTAGAAATATGCTTAAGCTTAAACATATTTTAAAGCCTCTTTTTACTTTTTACTTAAGCATATATGAACCTGTTTCAATAATGTCATATGCTTTAAAAAAAAAGCATGTATATTCCTCCCCATCATTTTTACTTTTACTATACATAATGAGTTTAAAAAACATCATTATATATATTTATTTTGGCATGTTTCGTAATTTTGTTTCCGTTAAGAACTCTTTCGTATGTTGTGATGCAAAAAACTTTCGTTTCGAAAGAAATTTTGTTTATTATCAATATTTCTAAAAACAAAACCACAAAAATTTAATAAGTTATTATACTGAAAATAAAAATTCATTATTAACATTTTGGGATTTAAAGATTTTAATTTTTACAATTCAGTCTGGCAAATAAATTTTCTTTATAGACTTCAAAACGTCGTTTGGCGAAAATGCTTGTTTCGCATGTGCGACTTCCGAAACAGCTACTTTCGTATGTTGCAAAATAGTTTTATTTCGTATGTCAACTTGCGAAATGCTAAATTTCGGAAGAAGCATTTGCGAAATGAACATGGACGATTTTAAATGTTTTGAAATATTCGGTACGAAAAAAATGTAATTTCTCGTTCTCAATCTCTTTACGAATGAATGTTGTTTTTCCGGAATTGCACGAAATCATCCGGTTAACAACCCTAATTAAAATTATTAAGTTCGGTATTATTATATAGATAGATAGATTCAAAATATATTTACTTCATTTAAGTAAAAAAACTTGAAAATATTTATTTACAAATTTAATACGCCATTTGTAAAAAGGACAAAAATTGGCTTCACTTTTCGGATCGAAGTTAGTGATCTAGTTATCTAATATATCATTGGTTTTTAAGGACTTATCGAGTTTAACTTATTTAGTATTTAAGGACTTATTGAGTTTGTTAGAATATTATCAAGATAATATTATCAATATTATCAACAACAACTTCCATTACTGCTAGTAATGCAAGCTACTGTTGATTTAAACAGAAAATGCTGCAATTTGAAATCATAAAATGGACGACGTTTACATTTAATGGGAAATATAATAAACGGCGTTTTAATAGTAGAAAAAATGACAATAAAAAGCAAAATATTTGAAAATTTAAAAATAAAGTTATTAAATTTACACAAGGTAGCGCCGTTAATGAACAAAAAACGATCCTATTTAATCTCCAAAAAGAACTTCAAAAATAAAAACGAAAATCACAAATCGTATTTTTCGTAATTTTTTAAGTTCTTTTTCAAGGTTTGTAATTTTTGAATCTTGAATCAGTGAGTCTATTTAAACCATCTTAAATCAGTGAGTCCATTTAAAATCAAGGCAGGACGAATTAAAAATCTTAAGTGACGCACTAAAATAAATAAATAAAAAAAGATTTATGATTGGAATCGAAAATGTTTTAGAAATAAGCGTGAACAAGAAATCAAAAAAAAGAAACACAGAAACAATCCTTAACGAACAGTTCAAAACAAAAAACGATTAAAAAACGCAAGATAATTATTGAAAACCCAATTATATTAAACGGTCTAGTGTTAAAGATGAAATTAGAAAAAATATAATTAGTTTACTAAATTAATGAGAAAACAAAAAAAGACAAAGAACTAATGCTTGAACACGCTGTTGAACAGTCTTGTATATTTTATTACCTAAAGTTTTTTTTTTATTAAATTAAAAAATATAAAGCGCAAATGAAAAAATAAAAACGAGATATTTTTATATTTATTGCATACATCATTTTTTCGTATTTATTGAATAGAGCAGAGAATATAATTGAAACGCTGAATAAGTAATTAATTTTTTAGTTTTTAATAGGAAAGTAGACAATTTAAGTTTTCTCGTGATTATATCACTGATAATGATAAATTAGTTATTTCACATGTTGTAATTTTTAACATAAACACAACAACTCAAACATGTAAATAGCGTTATTGCATCATAATGTTTCAAAACCACACATTTGCAACAGAACTAACATATATGATTATACAAAATGTATAACTGGCTGTGCTAAATCAAGCAGTGGTACTGAAATAAGCGATTCTTAAAAGCCTGTTTGTTTTATCAAAAAAATCTACACCTTTCGAGATTTATTCAATGTTTCGAATTAAAACATAACCTGAATAAACTATTATTACGTACCAAATTTTAAAGTACTATTTTAAATATACAAACATATATTGATGTATACTTATTCATAAAAAATTATTTTTGATAACATAAATCTATAAAAGTTTATAGCTTCTTACCGTTCAATGCGGTAAGAAGTTATTTTTCCGAAGAAGAAAAAGGTATTTGCCCGGTTATTTTGGTACGCTCTTCCCTACCTAAACAATTATGCTGCAGTACAAAGATAAATAAGGCAAATCATAAATTCTTCAACTTAAATATAAAACGTCAAAGAAGTTTAACTTTATGACTGGCATAATTTACTTTTAAATTGTTTACCTTTTATGACATACATAAAACAGTATTAGCTGTTAACAATAAACAAGGCTTTGTTATGTTATGTTGCACTTGTTATAACACTTTGTTAAGCAAAGCTTAACAATATGTTATAACAATATTTAATGCTAATGCAACAACTTTTGTTTATAACATATTTTATAAAAGCGTTTACTTTTTGTAAAGAGTTTGCTACCGTTTTTTGCTGGAGAAGGTTTTTAAAAACTTTTTATTTTTTCTAAATTGAATTTTTTATTGCTGGCATATTTCTTGTTTATTGAAAATTAAACCACTTGTTTAGCTGCAAATCAAATCAGATGTCTGAGACGTTTTTCACGGTTAGAAAAAGTTTCTTTATTGTCTGAATTCAAATTAAGCGTTTTGGAAAGCGTTAAAAAGCTAAACTATTAAAAATGAAATGGTATTTGATAATTTAAGTTGCCACGGGTTTTGAAGGAGGGGGGGGGGACACAATCATTAGTTTATGAAAGGTCCTCTATACCAGGGTTTTTCTATTAAAAAAAAAAAGAGAAAATAATGTACTTTTGAGCAACTAAAACTTGAATTACAAACCCTCTTGTTTCCCAGTACATTGTCGCGGACACACAGTGAGTCAGAAAGGTGAAGAAACGGCAAAAATTATATAAAACTATCATATATATATATACATGTGATACACCAATACAATCGTATTTTTGGTCAAAAAATTTAAATTTGCTATTAAAAATAATTTTTACGTGTACAACGCGCGCTTACGAGTGTAAGTGTCATTTACGCGGGCAAAATTTGATTAAAATAAAAAAATCGGATTCCTTGATCCAAAATACCACATATTTTAATATAAATTTTACTTGTGCCTAAGGCTCATACTACACACGTGTATACGTGTTAGAGTCGCGCACAAAGAATGACTTAATTTTAAAAGATTATATTCTTCAAACCAAAACATTTACTGATTAAAAAGAAAAATTAAATTCAAAAAATCAAAATACATCTAATTGTTATAATATTATTAAAATAAATCAAATACAAAATGAATATTTATCTTATCTAATTTTTCTTTCGAGAAAACAAAAAATGAAAACCTTGTATTAATAAAAAAAGCTTTTGTTTCATTATTACGGCATTAACAAAGATAAAACTTCAGGGGTAAGAGTTTTTCCATTTTTAAACTTGTATTTTTTGAAAAAATATTTGATATTACAGAATCACTTCTAATCAAGAGGTATTGGTACTGGTTTTTCATAACATTCTTTCTAGATATCTGTATGTATTCAATCTAGCTTTGCGAATTTCCTTAATGAGAACCTCTAGTAACTCTTCAGAGTAGTAACCAATTTACAGTTCTAATGCCTCAGATATCTGCACACAATGTTCCAAGAGTTTATGAACAGTTGGGGAAGTCACATAACAGCAATAGCTTTTGAGTAT